GGGGAGAGAAAGAAGATCTATCTATACGACTTTCGTGATGTTTTAAATAATCAATAATATGAAACTTATTACATACTGTTTTGTGGGAATTAACTTGATTAATGAATTGACAACATAGCAAAAATAGTGGATAAACATAACCTTCATTAAATTTTATGACTCGAAGTAGTCGCGGCAAAGTTTAAAATCCTAAAATTATACAGAATCTGATTCAATTTTTGATCCGAAAACATCCCTTCCTTTAACTATGTATGCAGATCGGCAAGTAAAAAAAAAAAAAAAAAAAAAAAAAAAAACTGCCAACACTTGGCAATCGATAAAGCTTAGACGATAAAGGAAAGAACTGCAAAGGAAATGTGATCTACAAACCACAAAGCTCAAGTCAGGAATTTTGGGTTCAAAATAAATAAATAAATATATAAACGAGACATACTTTTATGTAGGATTTCCCATTTGATCCCGTTTTTTTTTTATAGATACGATAATGGTCATCAGACGGTGCTTTTGTAGCTTTATGAAGGCCATCAATTTATCTGTCAGTTTCTGATGATACGGGGTTCGTGATGATGAGTGGAAACCATACCAACGCGTTTTTTCCAGGGAAGGAAGAATATATATACGCATATTGATTTATCTGAAATTCGCAAACTCACGACGAACTTAATTCGATTTATTACTTTTTTTTCACACAGCTAATAAAATACCTTTTTAGAGACATCGAAAGATTTAGCAAATCTCTTTTACCACTGACACTAGTAAAAGTGATGATACACGTCACAGCGAATAAGTACACTGCAATTTTAAATACCACACTGTAGTTTTCTCTTCTCTCCTTTAATATTATGTCGAGGATATCATCTGCACCCAATTCAAATCTGAAGGACCTCAGAAAAAATCGTCTGTCCTTCTTGAAATCCAGACTTCATATTTTTTCTAATAATTTTTACAATTTTTCAACAAATTTTTGCTGTATTTCTTAGCGATTACTTTTTATATCGCAATGGAAACTCCTTTCGTATTCATGATTTACTGAACTATTGCCCACACGCTTCTTCCGTAAAAAATAAGTTCATTCCAGAACAGTGGAAAGAAATGGAAAAGAACAGGGGAGGGAGAAATTAATAATCGTGCACCCGTGGGGTGTTAAATTTACTAATAAAAGTTTAACTAAATTGAAAATAAGTGTTTTATTATTTCTGCATTCAGTTTATTTCCTTCCTTTCAAACGCTTCGGCCTGATAAAAAAAGTCTTCATTATAATTTAATATTTTTAAAGGTGTAGAGACATTAGGTTAATTGCTAAAGCCGGAGAGATGAAAAATTAGCAGCCGCCTTCGCCGGGAATCGAACCACGGACATCTGGAATACCGGCCCAGAGTGCAGAACCACTACACCACGAAGGCACGCTAGGAAGGCGGGAGAAATACCTTATAAAGAACTTTTTTTAAATTTGTATATTTCAATAATAGATTTTTTTTAAAGTATCAGTTTTAAACAATCTTCTACAGATATGTAATAAGATGACTTGGTGAAAGAAAGTTGCAACGGACTGGCGATGGTGAGGCTTCACTGCGAAATTAGAAAGATGACGCTCAAAGACAAACATAACGGTAAATTCCACACATAGTTTTATTCCTTGATAATGCACATCATCACTGTGGGTGCGCTATGCACCTCATAATTTTATACAGCTTACATTTCTTAAACAATAGACGAAATTAGAAAACCTCTGCGTAACTAGCGGCAAGGCGATGGAGCGGGTTAAAGAGCCCAAGCAGAAGAAAAGAGAATAGAGGGGAGTTGCGACGCAATTACCTTTTATACCGAATTACATTTCAGATCACATGGCAGATTAATGTCCAGATTTTGTATTCAGATTTCATCGATAAGTGCGCAATAGAACGATGGTGGATCCTTTTTCAGAATTGTAGGCAGTTTAGTTAGAAAAATTATTGCTCTGTTATTTTTAGAATGAATACGGGAGTTAAGGGGCTGTTATTACTTTATCTTTTGAATGATAGATATTTTACACACGCACACACACACACACACACACACACATATATATATATATATATTATTTTACTTCTTTTCCTTGTTTAGTAGGTCCATTTTTTTCCTTCATTTTAAGATTTGGGCGAAAGAAGCTCCATTCATTTTTGTGATAAGAGGCTATGCAGATCTCCAAAGAAGTGCACAGTAATGTATATTACCATTAAAAAAATTTCGTACAAGCAAACAAATGAGACTAGTTGAACTGTACAGAAAATGAAACTCTTAGTTATGTAACAGTATTATACATGAATAAATTTCAGATATAATAATATAAATACGACATATTTTTAAAAATTAGTTTCCTACATTTTAGTATAAGAAACCTATTTCTTTCAGCCGGTTTTTCTGAGATTTTTTCCCATGGGTTATTTCCGCTGTGGTAGAAACTTTCCAACTCTAATTTCACACAGCATCAACGATTTGAATAATAATAATTTTATAAACAATCAAAATTTTAAATGTTTACAAAAAAAGTGTCTTTTACACTGATTATTTAGAAGCAAAGAAGAAAGTGTTATGATATTTTTATATGAAAAATGAACACGTATATTAAGAGTATTTATTTTTACCACTGTCTTTCAGGGATCCTCTAAATTAAAAAACTTTACAAGCAATCTCTCGCATTCGAATGAAAAGAAAACCATAACTGAATTAAAAGAAGAGAAAGAGGGTGCTTAGTGCTACTTAAATATTATTCACAGCTAAGGTGACATCCGTTGATATTGAAAAATAATTTGCAAAATTTAGTATGTAGTATATAGTAAATGTAGTATTTAGTACTAACTTGAGGAACAACTTAAGGACCTCATAAAACTAGAAGGCTCTTATTCAAATTGTCAAATGGAAATGCACATCATTAGCATCTGATATGAGAATGAACTATGCATAAACAGGGATTTTCAGCTAATGTATTCCATATTTTTATTACTTTAAAATAACAACAAATAATGACAGTTTTAGTCATCAGGAAAAACTGAATATGACATAAAAATTTGTAATTATACATTAATACAACTCGAAGCTGCCGAATTAATTAAAAATGACTTGAGAGAGCTTTTCTAGTTAAATTTAATCACGAAACCCTTTTATAATTTTGCAGTAATATTTAAGATTTCTCGACATCATCCGTTTCTCAAGAAATTTATTGGTACTACTATGTGCTAGAGAATTCAATTTGGTTGGGCTAGAAATAAATATATAAAATATAGAGTCAATTTCTAACTACTAACGAGACTTTTGATGTCCTTTTCCACTTCCTGAAACAGAAAATTACAATATTATGTATATTTATTTAAATAAAATAAATAAAAAAGACGAGCATTGAAAACTGATATTTGGTTATATTGGTAACTAGTGGTAATACGTCCGACTAGCAGTTAGAAGATCCGAAATTCGAATCCCGACGAGAGCAAAGCTAATTTTTCGCATTTGTTGTTCTATATATATACCTAATATCCCTAATAGCTCTTCAATTTAAACATTATACATGCATTAAGAAACAAAAAACGTAAATATAAAGGATTAAGAAACTGATTACATTTACTTAGTTCTAATTTTATACAGTAAGTAAAGACTTTTGCAAAACATTTTTAAAAATGCCGTTCTACTTACTTTCTTAAGAAAAGAGAGAGAGCAAAGGTGTTTTTAAGGGAACAAAATTATTAGCAATCAGAAATTATTCATTCATTTTACGGAGAAGTATCCTTAAAAAACGCATTATTCAGTTATTCCATATCCTACTAGTCTTTAAATAGACAAATGTTACAGTCTTGAGTTAAAATCCGATACTTATGATTACAACTTGATTTTAATTTGTTTGTGACTTCTATCAGGAATAAATAGAAGTCCTGGACTAAGTCTTCTTCTAAGTCCTGGACTTCTATAACAAATATAATTATCTATTATAAAAAATTTTTTTTAGATGCTGAACATAATCAGTTTTACAAATCAATTTTTCACAAATTTTAAGGGATATTTTTGGGAAATGTTTCTTTCACTGAGAAATTAACAAAACTTTTACATTTTCTCGAGAAGAATCAGTCTTTTGTTCAATATAACCCGAGCCGCTTGAAGCATCTTTTAGTGTAACTCATGTATTAAAAAAAATATAAAATATGCAAATAAAAATTACTTGGAATTCTTCTCAGGCGAAAAATTTCCATTTACGGCTAAATACTTACGAAAGGTAATTTCAATTTCAAAATTATATTTTTTCCAGCTCATAAGCTAACTTAACTAACATTTTGTGGGAATCATCCATTAAGGGAAAAGGTGATAAGGTTTTACTCTGAATTAAATGATAGATATGAAACTGAAAACTTGTCATTAATGTATAAGGCATATAAAAATTATCGTACTTATAACAATCAAATATAATATTTATATTATTATAATACATTATAAATAGTACTTCTTTTTCAAATTCTTCCTATCCCTAGATCAACTATTGGCAATTGTATTTGTATGTCTGGAGTCATAAGTGGCCAGTTTTGATAAAATTATTACCTGGCCTACCAGATACAAATATATTCACTATGGCTTTACATATGAAATGCTTTTAAAACTTTTGGCTTTATATTTTTTAAAGTTTTTTGCGAAATTCTTAATTTTATGTCGCAAAATTCTAATGTCTCTCGGAACACTTTTGGGGAAACGTGAATTTAAACAAGAAATTTTTGTGAAAAACGGATCTAATTATAAAAATAACTGACTATTTTCTTTTGAAAAAAATAAAGTTTTTTACACACCCTCACATTTCACTTACTTCATTTGTATTTTTAACGCAAGTAACTCACATTCAGAAACTATAATAATTCAGTTTATTTTCTTAGTTGCCCAATTTTCTTTGGAGCTATTTATTATCCATACTTTAATTTGACTAAAAATATTCCAGTACTCACCCATTATGTTTCATTTATATTAATAACAGTATTTTTTTTATACAGAATAAAAACAAAACTCACTTCTGGACTTGAAGCATGAAATGCCGCAGCAACTGGCTATGAATGATGCATTGAATAAAAATTGTGAACACTACTTATGGTTTGAACTCGGCTACTTAAGTCACTTCTGTATTAGTGTAAGTATAATATTTTTCTGCATGAAAGCTATTTAAGGTTTTTCAGTACACAATAAATATTGCATAAAATTTGCTTTTAGGTAAGCATAACATTTTTATAAACCTGCTACACTGAAAAAAAGCAATATCAAAAAGCATGACAGTTTCGACCATCACTGTTGTAATCCACAAATAGATTTTTATAAATTTTAGTTACATTTCATTTAAAGTAATTACTCTGCAACAGACTTCAGTCTTCTCAATCACTTTTTGTGGTAGTGGCCTCAAACTGGCGGCCTACGCGAGCTAAGCGTAGACATTTCAGATATGAATTTGTTGCTAATACAAGGTTACAAAGATTTTTAATTATTTGGTCTGAGGTTGCATTCATTACCATTAAAACTAAGGTGAATAACCTATCAGAAAATCTATAAATGGAGCTAACTCATTTATGATGTAATATGACTCTTATTCAAAGATACAGATTTTATTAAACTTTATTCATATTTGTCATAAAATAAATTAGTTAGTTACAATTCGTTTGCATTAAGAAGAATAATCTCTTTGTTTGGGAATATATTCATATAATGTACAGTTTTTTTCACAGTTGAAAATTAATTAAAAAAAAAAAAAAGGTTGACCGATGAGCATCTACAATCCGCGATGAAAATAATTTTTAGTAATTTTTAATTTTTGTCCTACGCTATAAGCTTTACCAAAATCAAAACGCCATCAAGGGTCAAGCTGTGGTAAGAAATAAAAGACGTTTATCATTATTTACCATAAGTATTTTTATTCATGCGTCAAATAAAAATGTAATAAATAAGAGAAAGGAAGTAAGTTGTCATTATATATTTTGAAGTTTTGCCCTACTTGGAAAAATCTTTAGAAAGTTAGGAAAGTTTTCATAATTTCTTTCAGTTTAAATTAAAGTACGTTATTTTATTAACCATGTTAGAATTATTTTAAATTAAACTTGTTAGACCTGAAATTAAACATGTTAGAATTACTTTAAATAAACGTCACTCTGAAATTTAATATTCAGTTTGTAGAGTTCCCCACTTTGTAAATGCTAAGTTACTGTTAAACGTGTAGAATCTTAAGAACCGATAAGCGAATAATCGCTTGAGTTCGTGTGACAAGAAATAACAAGATGGAAGGGTAAATAACCCTATATTATTCAGATAAGATTTAATAGAACTCCGTCTTGGAGTGTACAATAAAAGCCGACACTTGGGCTTGAACTTAAGAGGCTAAAAAGTAAACTAAAACTAATCTAAACTAAAGAGATATAGCCGAAGCTATCAAGATTCTAACCGAGTTGGCCCCTTAACGCTAATTGACTGCTAAGTTATCAAGGGCCTAAGTACGGCCGAGCGTAATAATAGCTTACCAGGGAGTAGCCTAAAAAGGCGGACGCGTGCAGACAGAAGACTGGTAACTCTCTCCTTAAGACCGAAGAACTTCGCGGTTTACTGCCTTAAAATTGTAACCAAGCTCAAAGAACACAGTTGATTCTGGAAAAACTATATATTCTTTTGGCGTGTAAAAATAATGATGCTAGCCAGTCAGTGCAGGAAATAATAAGTATAAATTAAGGCAGAAAGTGACAAATTAAAGAAAGAAAAAACATTAATGAAAATATAAATTTTCTTCTTAATTTTAGTTCTAGATAAAAATGTTTTATATCAGACAAACATTTCATCAGAAAATTGGTACATAAAATATCTCATCCAAAACAAAGCATTTGAACGTAATGGGCTGTGTACTACTTCTTCAGTAGAGAATCCAGTCACATTTCATAGCAAAGAAGGTCCGACAGTAATATGCCATACTATTTATGACGATATTGATGCACTCAGTTGAGAAATAAAGATAATTAAATTTTTATTTAAGGATATGAAAATTACCCTGGATAAAGATTGATGGGATGAAGTTAATAACTCGTCTCTCTAGATTAGATCATCCTATTAATTCCTGATGTAGGTTAGGATATCAAACTGGCTAGTCTACAAGCTTGTCTCTAGTCAAAATTGGCCAATATTTCGCAGACTGCATCCTCATAAAAATATTCATGAATGTCTAAAATCTCACCAATAATACATTCAAGCATAGCTATCCAATGCACACTTGCAATCTTTGTAGAAACGGTCTCTTTGGCAATGGGAATTGAGATGATGGTAACAGACTGTGTAAATAATACTCATGATCTTCAATTTAATATTTAACTTTTTTTTAAGAATCTGGATCTTCATTGGTCTTCAAATCATTCACAACTTTGCATTCTTAATCTGATGAATCTAATAAAACTGAAGATAAACCTTTCTCCTGTGAAGGTATGCAAATTATTGGTCTAAACTTCCTTGATAAAATATATGCTTAGCAGAAGCAAAAAAAACAATTACTGCCACAGAAAATTCCAGCTGAATTGGAATAGATATCGTGCTCCACCATACAATTAACCCAAACATCGGTTCTTATATAGCACTTGTAATTCTATGCCTTTGCTTGACTGAAGTGTTAAAAGTTTTATTCTGTATTTATTTAAAAAAATCGTGATTCTTCTATGGGTTCACATTCAACTACCACGGCCTATCTCATACACTGAGATCTGCCTCATCCAGGAGAGGAAATAAAAACCTTCTTCGGAGCATTTTCCCCCTTCCCTCTGCTACCTTTTACTTAAAACGAAGAAATCTACCCAAATTTCGATACGAAACACTGACTACGTGCTACTTAAATACCAAATTTTGTGAAGATCACAATATTTTTAGGCATACTCTCATGACTTTTCCGCTTTTTTTTAAATTTAATTAAATTTCAAATGAATTAAAAGGAGGTTAATACATTAAGGTAACGAAATTCATTAATCGTATTAAATATAAATAAACTACACATCAAACTTTAGAAATTTTAAGATGTACCGTGAATTATATTTTTAATTTTCTCGCACCCATCTACCTTTATTTTCCAGATTCCTTTTTTGCCTAGTTTTATTTAGTCGTATTCCTTACTTCAGAATTGGAATGGATTACTTAATTTCAAAGAATGATAATATATGCCTGTGGAGAAAGAATAACATTTTAGACAACATTGGGAACAGTGGCAGTATTTACATCACACGAGGGAAAATAAGAAACTTCGTACAGTCAGCTCATTCAAACGCAGAGAACAGAATCCGGGAGAACTATCATTAGTGTTTAGAAGCTTTAAACACTCATCCACTCGTGACCCCCTTATTCCCTGAAACTGCAGATAGAAATAAATTTAAAAAAATAGGATGTATATGGTCAAAATCTGAAACTAACAAATATAATTTGAAACTTAAATTTCATATCGCGTTTCAATTAATGCTTTAACATAAGAGTTTTAGAAACATGTATAGGTACTAAAAATTCCTAATTTATTGATGACTAAATGAAGAATTAATGTAAAAGCTATTTCAAACAGTGAAAATCATTGAAAATATTTCGCGAAAGGAATTAAAGTTAAAAATATAATGACAGAAAACGGCGTAACAATATTTATTGAGTACGTAAAATGAACATTTTCTGTTGTTATATTATGCAGTTTAATATTCACTGAAGACACTGTTTTAAAAGTTTGTGTACGCTATATATCAGCATATTATACACACAATGCGTAAGCAAAGTTTTAGGATTGAAGTCATAAAAAATCGTAAGTTGGGGGGGGGGAGCCAACATTCTTACTTCGAAGCCTTCAGTATGTAATACTTGTAAGTACATACAATGCTCGGCACGCTCTTGTTCCTTCCTTGACCTAATGTTCTGGAATATCGTTTAATTCTTGATTACGACTTTTTGAATCTCTTCAGAAAATAACGATCTCTGAAATAAGACTTGCCTTTAGAAAGAAAAGAAAGTAATTTGTATGTGCTAAATCTAGTCAATAAAAGGACAGGGTTGAAAATTGCGATTCCTTCCCTAGAAACTGCTTCATGAGAACGGTTGGTTTAAATTGGTATATTTGATAACGGCAAAACTCGTGAGGGTTCTCTGCCTAAGAGAAGAAATGCCTTCGTGGAGGACTTTCTAAAGGAACTGACTCGTATCCATGCCAAACCACGTAAACGCCCATGCAGTTTTCCCTTTGCCGGGTTCCGAACCCGGATCGAATTACTATTCAGCAACTTTAAAGCTCGGCTGCTGGTGGATCATGAAAATTGAATTAAGTAACCGTGCACAGCAGTGCAGTAGAAGCTAATTATTGGATTGAGCTTTTTCGAGCATAATGCGCTGAATCCTCTTCAGAAGTCTATTCATTATGTCTTTATAAAATATGAGGTTCACCGTGCATTCCACAAGAACACATTACTTCTAAAACACCCTTTTCTGATCAAAAAGAATTATCAACATGATTCTGACTCGTGATTCTTGAAACAGAAATTTCTGTGGCAACAGTAAACCTTCTCCAGTTAAAGCAGACGATTGCTATTTTGTCTCAGGATCAGAGCACCAAGTCTTATCTCCAGTCATAATTTGAAGAGAAAGATATACAAGAAATTCGAATCTTTGTGCCAAAAATTGGAAGAGAAATTCGAATTTATACATAAAGATAAATGTTTGTCATTTAAGTCATATCACTTGTTTTCAGATTTAGGACAGCTCGAGAACAGATGTTCACTGGATCAGAGCAAACAATTAATTGTTTAGGAAATTCAATCTGTAAGCAGACGATATCGGGGAGGAACAATTTGAGATGTCACAGTAATAAATGCTGCCATATTAATCATAGTAATAAATTCCGTTCAGCCGATTTTCCGGAATTTCTTTTAAAACATTAGTTCTTAAACTTTGCCGACACATTTTATAATTTATATTACACATACGTTCGAATCCTCTCGTGAACTTCTATTACATTGCATCATTAACATGCAGATGCATCGTCTCGTTCTATCTCAAGACGATGAATCAATCATTCAATGGAAAATTCAAGAATTTCACAAGATACTCAAGTCTTTTTCTCCTTTGCGACACAGAGAAAGAGAAGAATTCGTGAAT